AATATTTTAAAATATTTTCAAATAAGGTCCCCTTAAAAATATCAGCAAAGCTAAAACACACAATAAGATTACTGCTGTGTTTGACTTAGTGGTCAGATTATAACTCCAGATGTAAATAGGAGACAGAACACCAATAATGTCCCATCACTTAGTAAAGTTTCAGTTCACAGCAGATAAGAAACTGATCAAGAAAAGAGTTGGTAACCTAAATATTCCAGCAAAAACATGTAAAGAAAAATGAACCAGCAAATTTTAATACACACATTTGTTGCACTTCCAGTACTATGTTATTATTCCAATAAGACTTTAAAGTATTTAGGTAAGATTCATTTATTTTAATTTAAAGTATTCTTAGTATTGATAATTTAAAGTATTCAACGTACTTATTTAGTATTTCACACACACAAAAAGAAACTCTTAAATGAATCAGAAGTATATCAAATGTTAATGTCATGAATGCTTTTTATAATAAGCTTGGCTGATAACTATTGTAATTATATTTGTGTATAAACAGTTTTACAATTAAACTGATTTTCTTTGACGGGAGAAAATACTTATAAATCTGTCCCCAGACAACTTTTACTATGTGCAAAGGTCACTCACACTTTATATGACAGCCTGGTAGAAAAGTGGTAATAGTGTGGTTACAGTATGTTAATAACACGTTAATGAATAAGTAATTTTGCATAATTACCTAAGTCTTTACCATTTTAATAAATAGGTTACTCAGTAACATTAGGATAAAAATAAGATTTCAACTTTTTCCACATAGTAAAAACAGGGAACCAAAATAAAATGGGACATATTATGATGATAAAACAGTAATAGACTATATGACAACTTTGTTTGTTCAGATATGGTTTATCACTATTTTATTACCTCTTCTTGATTTGTAATTTCTAAATTCTACCATTTGGTCCAAGTTTCATGCTGGCTTTACTACAGTGCTGTTACATATTACTTCCAGTTAATTATATGGTAATAATTATATACTTGCACAATATTGCCTTTTTTTTAACCATCCTGTTGCCCCACCATTCCCATTTTATTGCCGAGCTGTTGCGTGAAGTGTTAAACGAATGGGCATCACTGGATGAAAGCAGCCGGGGTTTATTGGTCCTGCTTTGGAGCAGTGCCACAAACAGCCAGTGGGAGTCATGGATGCTGTAACAAACAGCAGAGCCTTTGTTTAGCTCCACCGCAGACAACAAATATAAATGTTTCTTATTGAAAAATTATAAATTCATCAACTTGCATAGATTTTCTTTTTCCCTAAAGCTTGATGAATTGAAGCCCTCCACACCCTCTCAAGTAAACTGATCTAAAAGATCAGCTGTTCCAGCGATTAACATCCTCACTTTGTGTCTTTCTTCCTTTTTTATTGCTTTCATCCCCATTTTTGATTTCTTCTATCACAGCTACCCTCCATTTGTCCTCTCCAGTGCACATTGATCTCTGTGGGTCCTCCGTAAACAGAACCGGGTCCAAGCAGTTAGAGCCAGCAGGTGTGAAGAGCAAACAAAGCCCCCCCTGAACAAACCCCCAAACCAATTTAGGCCTTGTGTGCTTCCTCATATAGACAAACTTGATGACTCTTATGAGGAGTAAAACAAATCAGACGAATATGCATCTCAGCCACACCTGTGCGCCACTTATTTTAGTAATCCTCCTCTCTGCCCGGTGATAAATTAGACATCCCGTGAATGTGCGACTGAAGTTTAACGATGATGAAGAATCAGAAATGCTGCAAAATAACTGGTGATGTGTCATGTGCAGCGGTGACAAATAATCAGCCATCCTGCTCATTGATCCGTCTCAATCCATCACGAGATCTCAGTCCAGCTCAGACACAAACTGCCGGAGCCAGAAATAGGCACAAAAAGAGCTGGCAGATTTTTTACAAACCGATGACCACACAGACTTACTTCACAATTAGCCAAAGTTTTAACAGATTGGTTGAATAAATACACAAAACAAGCAACTGAATGTGGCACAGCTCATACAAACTTTGTTTTCTTCACTAAAAGTTCATAAAACACACACAAACTCTCGTTGGTATTGCATAATCTACTAACAGTACAAAGCACAACATTTCTGACATAAATCAGTGTTTCTACAATAATTTGAGACTAAAAAGCGCATATTGTTTTGAATAACACAGTTTGTTAAGAGCTGCATTGTTCTTGTTTGTTGGTAGTTTGTCTCATGAATCACTGAGAGGATTTTAATAAAATGGACAGAAAATAAACATTTGTACATTACAACTGAACTACAACTTAGTTGGAGTCGACCAAATTCAAGATGGCTGCCAGACCTGGTGTACTAAACTATTGTTGGATAAAAATATCCTCTATTCATTTTACTTACTCAAAGAAGTCACACTGGAGGATGAGAAGACTTTTAACTGGTTTTACTTGCCAGGGCAGATTTTCACAACAGGGTTCACACATGTACAGAAGTTACATGCACGGAGCCCAGTCATGAGAATCTGCCACGGACGGTGTGAGAGAATTGTTTTTATATCAGCTCCTGGCTCACAGGCCGACTGATGACCTCAGCCATCCAGCTGCACATGCAGGATCGAATCAGCTCTCTGCCAACGTAAACACATGGTTCATGGGCACTTATTCTCAGCCATAGTGAAAAACAACATCCAGTGGTGGAAGGCAGACGTGTGCTCCTCTGCTCTGTCCCTCGCCCGTCCTCTGCTCCGTCCCTCGCCCGTCCTCTGCTCCGTCCCTCGCCCGTCCTCCTCTGCTCTGTCCCTCGCCCGTCCTCTGCTCTGTCCCTCGCCCGTCCTCTGCTCCGTCCCTCGCCCGTCCTCCTCTGCTCCGTCCCTCGCCCGTCCTCTGCTCCGTCCCTCGCCCGTCCTCCTCTGCTCTGTCCCTCGCCCGTCCTCTGCTCCGTCCCTCGCCCGTCCTCTGCTCCGTCCCTCGCCTGTCCTCTGCTCCGTCCCTCGCCCGTCCTCTGCTCCGTCCCTCGCCCGTCCTCTGCTCCGTCCCTCGCCCGTCCCTGCTTTGCTCTTTGTCTTGTGAACCTTTTTCAGAGTCCCTTTTTTTACATACCTTCCAAATTGTAACGATGGATTTGATCAGCTGGTCTCTCAACTAAACTGATCATTTTTCTCTACAGGTAGTCAGGATGAAAGAGAACCCTCTTACCTCGACGGAAACATAACTGGATCTATGATAGCTGGATGTTACTGTTTGGAGTTAGTGGAAATCTGGAATGAAACAAACGAGTCTCCAAACAACAAAGTCCACGCTCAATAAGCCAGGTACACAATCCAACATTTTCCAGTCAGGTCATCTGGACAGTTTCTTTTTTTTGTGCTGAAACGTTTCGCCTTCGTTCCGGAAGGCTTCATCAGGGGGGAAGAATCAGTTTTGTGTTGTGTGTTTCCTTGACTGATGAAGCCTTCTGGATCGAAGGTGAAACGTTTCAGCACAAAAAAAAGAAACTGTCCAGATGAGCTGACTGGAAAATGTTGGAGTCTCCAAATAGTTTGAAGAAAGATTTATTGCTCAAAACATTCTACCTTGGTGTTTTCTTTAGTTTTCAATAATCATTTCACCCTGACATGAACAGGATGAATTCTGTCCATTCTTCATCTATTTGTCACAATAATCTCTGAACTGGATTAGACCATAAATACTGAAAATGAAGCTGCTTAAAACTCAACAAACCTTTCATGATAAATGTTCACGTTATCCAATGCTTTCTGGTTTTTACCATTCATCACTCCAAGGGATGAGAATGTCCAACAAATTACATCATTGCTCTGTATTGATTTTGTTTTTCTCCCAAACAGCCGTCTTAATTTGATAAAACGCCACGAGATCAATACCCTAAAAAAGACACCAATAAGTAATTGTTTCACCACATGCAGGTGCTTGACAGAAGAAAGAGAATACAGCGAGACGTGAATCCGTGTCTGTCACTCCAAAAAGAACGCAGATTTTCATCTGTTTTTATTCACTTTCATGCATAATTACATGTTTAACAGCATCAGCGGTCACTGCGCTGGAATATGAGTTTGTTCTTGGCCATAAACTCTGTAATTAGTGGCATTTTCTTTCTGACGAGCTGCTAGCGTGTCTTGGCATGGCAGATTTCAGTGTTGTGTCTCTGCACATATAAACCTTTAGAACTGCACCTTCAAGAAAAAAGAGAGAGAGAGAGAGAAAAGAAAAAGAGGATTGTCTTTCCACAGCTCTCTTTATTTTTAGAGGCTGGATGCTGATGAGAGGAGAGAAAGCATGAGGGTGAGAAAGTATCTCAGAAGTGGGGAAAGGAGGGCGAAGACAGACGTGGTCAGGGTGTTGTGTTGATGTGTTCCGGGCGGCTGGTGGAGAGAAACCCAGGACGGTGCGAGTCCTTCGTCTGAGAGAAAAGGGGATGTAACCACACCAACCGCTCACTCGATGGGAGAGCAGAGGGGTGGTGGGGGGTCTCAGCAGCTACTGCTGTATAAAAAGCCAAGCCTGAGAACACGGCACCACAAACTCACCACACACACACGCGCACACACACACAAACACACACACACAGTGGCTGCTCTGTGTCTCTGACGCTCACCCACTCTCATTATTCTCTCTCTCTCTCGTTCTCTCTCTCTCTCTCCTTCCCACTGTCTTTCACTCCATTCCTTTGGGCTCTGCATCCTTCTTGCTTCTTCTCACAAGTCACAATGTGTTTGTAAGTACGCTCCGAATGTCTCCCCGTGTGTGTTTGGCTTTCCTTAAGTCTTTTCTGTCTGTTCGACTGCCTGCCTACTTCAGGATGACTGAGTGGAGCACTGAGCTGTATTAAGTGCATGTGGGTCTCTGTCTCACCCTCACACACTCGACGCTCCTCGTGCAACTCTTCCTGGGATCTGTGGGTCCCTTTCCTCGGTGACAGGCTCCCCACACCAAGCAGTCACCATTTCCGCCCCCGGGAGACCCACGCTGGCAGCGCAGCCCCTTCCCCGACTCAGCATCGGGAGGAAGACCCTGGTGGCGGCTGCTGTGGGGGTTATGCTGGTCCTGGTGCTGGTGGTGCTCATCCCTGTGCTCGTCAGCTCCGTGGGTACCGACGCCAGCCACTACGAGATGCTGGGCACCTGTCGGATGGTGTGTGACCCCTACCTGAACAAGGGGACCGCGGCTAGCAGCACGAGCTCCACTGGTCTGCAGGCTGAAGCCGAGGCGCTGACGGACCACAGCAACGTTCTTCCACCCTCCACTTTACTGCAGGGCCCACAGGGGAAGCCCGGCAGGCCAGGGAAGCCCGGACCACCTGGACCACCCGGACCGCCTGGAGAGCCGGGACCACCGGGGCCAGCTGGGCCTCCGGGCGACAGAGGGGATCATGGGCGGACTGGGATTTTGGGTCTGGGGAGTAACGGAGCTATCAGCACGGCCACCTACAACACGGTGCCTCGGGTGGCCTTCTACGCCGGGCTGAAGAACCCCCACGAAGGCTACGAGATCCTCAAGTTTGACGACGTGGTCACCAACCTGGGCAACAACTATGATGGCATTTCAGGCAAGTTCATCTGCAGCATCCCGGGTACATACTTCTTCATCTACCATGTGCTGATGAGAGGAGGGGATGGAACCAGCATGTGGGCAGACCTCTGTAAGAACGGGCAGGTGAGTTTCAAACTCTTTGGAACTTCCGGTTCCTCTCGACTCCTCTGGGGGTCTTTGTTTCAGCTTTGCTGCTCCAGCTGGGGCTCTCCTGCGTGTAGACCCTTAAAAGTTGTCTTTAAGCCTCTAAAATAAAAGGACTGTGAGGGAAGCAGGTCGCCTGTCCGTCCTTAAAGCGCGCGGCTGAGGCTCTCCGCGCGCGCTGGTGCGTCCTCGGATTAACGCGAGCTGCGACGGAGAGGACGCGACACCTTTTATTCTTTTACCTTGGAATTATTCCGGAGTTTCCCTTTTCGTACCCCTCTTACTTTTACTGGTAAAAACGTGGAGTTTGACGGCTGCTCTCTTCACAGAGATTTAAAATGAAATGAGACGGAAAGAAAGGAGGAGACGATCTGAAGGAAACGCGCTTTACTTTTATTTTGAGACATTCAGATTTCAGGACATGTTCAATTATTATTATTATTATTATTATTATTATTGTTATTATTGTTATTATTATTATTATTATTATTATTAAAATAGTCGATGCTGTCTTTTGACAGATGAGTTTTATTTCGCTCCATTTACGCGCAGCAGCATCAGGCTCGCGGGATCGCGCTGGTCCTTCGCATCCATCCGCGTGTACAGCCGCTGAAGTGCGTCCATGTGTTTTGTCGGCTCCTTTGATGCTTCATTTCTAATAATGTTGTGCGACCTGAAGGATCCTCTCCTAATGCGCGCGACACACTGCTCCAAACTTCCAAAGATCCGTCAAATCTTTTTGATATTCAAAGCGTTTGTTGTTTTTTATTTCACTGACTGTG